TCACCATTTACTCATTAGTCAGTAGACACTTGGACATCCCTATTTTCCATTTATATTTATACTGTATTCCTTTTTTTATACTAAAATACAACCTTCGTGGTTGTCCGTTGTTTTAAAAATTGACCTTGCCGACGTTTCCGCCAAGCGCCTTTTAGGCCCTATTGTTGTATGTGGTTGACTCGTTGTTGTGAATGCTGTTCACTACTAAATACGCCTTGTTTTATTATCTTGTTGTTTGTTTGTTTGTTTTTTTATTACAAAATTAGGCAAAAGAGTCTGAGAAGTGCAGACTCTTGAGACTTTGTGACATTTAAAAGCCCGAGAGTCTGAGACAGGCTCTGGCTGAGAGCCTGAGACTTCATACAGAAGTAAACACAGAACTACAGACTTCAGAGTTTACTGTTCAGACTTCAGACAGGATGCGGGGGGTTAAAAAAGATATGTGAGTTGAGAGTTGTCAGTTGTGTGAGCACCTCTCCCCCCCTTTCACTCCCCCATTCCCCCCCTGGGAAGTCAAGAGTTATACATGATGTAAATTCTGATTAGTAAACAAATATGCCAAATATTTGCATTTGCTCCTTTTTTAAAAACAACATAAAAAAAAATCAAATATCTAAATAACTAAATGTTAACATTAAAAATAATATTTTCTTCTTTTGACTCCGTAAACATTGAACAAATGAATATCAGTTTTATTTGTCGGTCATCACTTATCAGTGACTAATCGTTGCATAGTTATATTTATAGGTTTATTAATTTGTTCTGTCCATTTCCTTCTGTGGAACTCTTTATACGTTCTATTCATTTTGATTTAGAACAAGGAGTAATTTAGGCTATATCTACCAATAATACGCGTTCAAATGTGTAGTACATAGACCATAGTACATACAGTATATTTCTTTTTTCAAAACATTTATAAAAGAACTAAAATAGTACTTTGTTTTAAAAAAAATTAAAATTAAATTCAGAATTCAGAGTTTTAGACACGCAGACGCAGTTTCAAGTCGCTTTTACTGAAATATCTTGTCCAATTTATACCCTCAGGCCTCAGCCTCAGGGCCTCAAGCTAACCTCATAACGTTTGGCGTCGTGTATATAAAAGTTGATCAGTTTAACGGATTACTTTTAGCGTTGCAACGTAATTTGGTATATTTTGACTTATATATTGTGACCTAAATAGTGCACCTCTTCCGTTACTTTTAGTTTCGAATTCGGATATTACAATGAGATGTTAGGACAAAAAAATTGGTATGTAATAGGAAGTCGGTTCCTTTTTCTTTCTTTCGGGATGAGCGTTTCCAAGCTGGTGCAGTTTCCGCTGTGTATTTACATTGTAAAAACTAAATAAATAGTACTTTGTAAATGAGTAACTGTGTATTGGAGGTGTACCGTGTACTGTGAGAGTCTGTGATTGCGGTTTTTAAAAATGGAGAATCGGTGATGCAGTCTTTGCGACGCCAGTCCCAGATCATAGCCTTCTGAAAATTACACAAGCCAGGCATGGTCGAGAGAGCATACAAATTTTGTGGTTTACGATTTGGGAGTAAAACCGAGATTTAGTTGGCGGGCTTTTTGCGCCATTTTAATTCAGTACTAGATCGATAATAATCAATTAAAGTGGCATATTCCTAAATAGTAAATAGTACAGACATGTCCAGGACTCTGGAGCGGGTTTTAGGGTTTTAGAACAAATACCTCATAGGGCCTCAGGGATAATATTATTTATTTCAAAAATGGCTAGTATGTATGATAAAATGTATGAACATGTGGTATGGCTCTCATAGTCGCTGTGGTGGTTCAGGAAAGATTGAGGGGAAGAAGTGGTCAGTAAATTCCCGTTTGAAGCTTGGGCCAAGTGAGTCGACAATGGAAGATATGTGCTGAGTCAATTCGGGCCGGTGTTGACAAAACACTGTTACTATCGAATGTTCCATATATTCACTTGCTGACCTACTAAGTAGAGTACCCACCTCTGTGGTAAGGATCGGGTCTGCGCCTGGTGTTTATGGATGTAAGGGCATGTAAACATAGTGGTTATATGCACGTGTAGTTTCAATTCGCTTGCGTATATCAAGATTAACGATGGTGACTTGCGCTGTTGCAAGTTGCAACAATAAGACTGGTGATATTGTCTCTGGTATAGTCATATCTATGTTGCGTATACCAAAACTTAAAAAACATCCCAAGCCAAGGCCTGGTGCGGATCATAAATTAGGTGGATAGAAGCTTGTTTTAGATCATTCATTGCAACTGATACATATACTTCTAGTCTCGTGGCTGATGCTTATTGGAACAAACCAAAAGCTGACCATCGTATTTGTAGTATACATTTTCATCCAACCGTTCTCACAGAAAAGAAAACAAATGGAGATGAAAGGCAAGTGTCACATGTAGCATCAGTGATAGGTGTAGCCCGTACCATGTTCCTGAAGTCATTATAAAGCCTGTTAAGGAACAAATTTCACGGGACAGACTACTAATACCATACTCTGAGATCTATCAATTAGATCGAGGTTTACAAAACTCAAACAAACAGTTAAAGGAGCAATATCTGGTAGCAGAACGTGTACGTAAGCGAGCACGTATAACGGACGCGGAGTATGAGAGAGTAAAATCAGACGAGCTAGCAAGTGACAAGATCGATTCTTTTCAGTCTTTATTAGAATCAATGCCTACACTGCATAAGCAATGGCCTTCTCAGGAATGATGCAATTCTGATTTTATCATTTTGTATCGATTCGAATCGTTCACAATATAGAAAGGACACCAATCTAACACCTGAAAATGACACTTTGGAAATCTCTAATTAATAGGAGTACCAGGAGAGAGGGTCTCAGGCATGAAACGGTTGTTGGTAAAAACCTGTAGAATAATTCGATAATGATCTCAGAGCAAGATAATCCACTGAGAAAAGGACAGGATTAGAGTTGTTAGAATTTAGGACAATATGGTATTGATTCCTCCTAGCCAATACGGAGGGTTGGCGCCGCTAGTGAGGAGGACGTCTAGGATCTTAAAGCATTTAGGATTTTTTTTATCAAGGTATTTACCCCTGACAAAGTTCGTCGAACATGCATGCTCTAGTCTAATAAGGAAGGCTTTTATATCGCTTATTTTTTATTTTTCCGAATATTAATCAGGTATAATTTTGAACTATTGGGATAGGAATTCCTAAAAAGAAAAATATCCTGAAATAGGACTCGATTATCCAATAAGAATCAAGACTCAATTTGTTTTAAAGAAGGTGACGACTCGTCACTATTTGAGCGGTACCAGATATTTTATATCAGAGTTGGGTCAAAATGGGTTTATTTACAATTTGAGAAAATTCAGTACAAATTGACGTAATAGTGACGACTCATCATTATTTGGCCTGGTACTGGTGATATCTAGTCCTGGTAAAAGACAAAAACATGTGTCTACTATTAGTAAAAAAATACAACTGGTTTTGGACCTTCGCAATATGTCTATGACATATATCAGACTTCTGACTGGAATAATAGACTTGTCGTCTATTTGTTTTAGGATCTAGGCAAAAATTCTCAGTAGTATTTTTTCTTAACTTTTGGGCTTGGCTCAGCCCTTGTCCCAAGTATCCAAGAGCGGATTCCCATTCGATTCCCGAATTGCCGATGAGAAGTTGCTACATAGTTCGTTTGCAAAAAAAAATTTAATTCGAGAAATCAAGCATTTGTAATTTGTTCGTTTTAGACCACAGAAAATTTCGGAAACGCATTATGTTGAAGATTATAGACTATTCTATTAGCTTAAATAGTTAGATTTGTCGAATAACACACTTCTTTTGAAAATGTAATATCATGCTGTTCTGATGTGCTTCTTTGGTTTAAAGTCATTAGTAATCCAAAATCGAGAGAGTGGTCCAATGATGAACAATACTTTCTACGTTTCTAAAATACGAATATATTTAAGTCAATAATTGTCCTCCGGACAATAGTCCGATCAGGCATACTATTATATTTGTTCTCTTGAGGGTCATGCAATAGTGAGCCAAAATGTACAGATAGTGCACCCCAATCGGAAATACTTGTTTGCCGAAAGTCCAAAACAAAATGAGGGAGGAGGGGGTGAGTTGTAGACTGGTCACTGTAGTCCAGACTCCAGACTCCAGACTCAACAGAGTCTCAGACAACGTTCATACTCTTGGCCAATGACTCTTGGAGTCTTGTGACCCGAGTCTGACTCTTTAAACTCAATAATTCTTGACCTCGGACTCGGAGTCGTATTTCTATTATTTGTATTATATTTTTTGTTTCGTTTTCTTGTTTTATCTCTTTATTTATTTTCAAAAAATCAAATTTAAAAAATTAACAGCGTCATCATGATGTCATGTGACCGTCGGGCTTTGAAAGTATGTTGGACCTTAACAATAATACTGAATCAAAACGAGAAAAAAAAGGCTTTTTTTTTTTGAAAGTTTCAGACGTTTTCAGGAATTCAGGACTTTCAGTTGTTCACACTAGAGTAGAACACATATTTGGTTGAGTCTTGAACCGAGTCTCAGTCTGTTAAATATGCACTGGCTGGCTGGAATGAGAATCTGTACTGGCGTGTGGGGCACTGCTGAGCCAGCAGGCCTGACAGGGCTGTGCTGACTGCTGAATGCTGACTGCTGTGATTCGTACCTGACAATTCGGCTAGTTTTTATAAATTTTATTTTGGGACGTTCCCTTTTAATTGAAAAACAACGCATTTATCAGGACTGCTCCCATAGGATATATAAAGGTTGTTTCATTGGTTTTGTGGACTACTCTTTCTTCTCAACTACATTTTAATAGAACAATTCTTGCCAAGACAATAGAAGTAAATAGCAATGGACATCTTTTCTAAAAATACCTAAAAAGCGTTTGTGTCAGAGTATGTGTCCTGCGAGTCTGTGACTCTTGTGAGTCTTGTCATTGTCGTCACTCGGTTTGTAAACAAGTCTGGTGACTTGTGAGAGTTGAGGCTACGAGAGTACGAGTCTGCGATTGTCTGTCTGTCATTTTTATAAATATTTTAATCTTTTGTTTGAAATACTTTGTACCATATAAAGTACTTAGCCTCGGACATTTACATTCATAAATTAGAGAATTTAATTTGAATGCTACAACAGATATACGACAATCATGACATATTATAAAAGAAGTTTGAACGATTATGGATCGGGAGCGTATGGATCGTATGACCACAAGTTCGCCGACGACTGTTATACAGATGACTCACACTGTTGTGAATTTGATTGCAACGATCGAGTACGTGGCGAAGTAATCGTGCATAAGCAGCCGAATAGTTACTTCGGGCTCCAGTTTGTAAATATGAATGGCCGGCAATTTGTTTCTAAAGTGGATATTGATCCCGCTTCAGCTGCCTATCGTAGTGGTCTATGTCTTGGAGACCGCGTCGAGGTTGCTAATGGACAAACTACGGCGGATATTCGGTGTTTACCTCACATGCTAGATCAGTGTAGTGCAGTACATCTGGAGTACACAAGACAACCTTTCTTGAAGGACATTGAGGTGTGCTGGAATCAGGATATCTCCTCAGTTCTAAACGAAATCCACCAAGAACAATGGCTGCTTATCGCTATTGAGGACACGTGTATTTTAGATTTAAATGATACCGAATTATGTGCTAGGGTGAAAAAGATGTTCAAGAAACGAGAAACCATTACACTGAAGGTGGTCTACGACCAAATGGGCTTGAAGTTCATCGACGAACTTGCCTACTTGATAGCTGTCTCCGATGGAAACCTCACTCTGAAGGAGTATCTGGATCCTACCTTAAGCGTCGATAAACCGATTGTTCAAAAGAAATCATTGAGGTACAAAATTTTCTCTTCATTGAGAAGATGTAGTGATAAAACTACAAACACTGCCAGAACTAGTCTACGAAATATATTAAATGTGTAGGGATTGTATCCCACAGTCAAAACGAAAAATGAGAATGTTCAAACAATTTTTAGTGTGGTTATTTTTCACTACAGTGGACGATAGTGATGAATGAATACGATATTAGGGTTTACTTTCGTATGCAATTAAATATACAGATGCGTAATTCAAAGGTCTTTTTGATATATGTCCGTATATTGACTCTGGTTTGTGTTGCAATCTTAAGCTAAAATATCTATGCTCAGTTATCATCATTCACATATCTGAGTACATCACAAAGACAGAGATTCATTCTATGATCTCAAAAAATCCTATTTTATAATCGTTTCAACAGTGGAGCATGATTATTTGATTTCTTTATCACTCGTCGAAGGTTTGTATAATGAGATGGGCATACATGCAAGTTTATCATATGAAAGGATTTTAAAATTAGATTTATTGGAATAATTTGCCGCTTTGCAAGGTCTTGAATGGAAAGACTCATAAAGTAAAGGTGTGTCAGGTTTGCTGCAGAATGTAAGCAACTTGAAAGTGATGCGAGTCAATGCGTAAATGGCAATTGCATATGCAACTTCGGAATCCAAACTCGTCATCCATGTAATACAGTTCGCACCCAACAAAATGCTGTCGAAATAGGTGTAAGGTGGGTGTGCCATAGGTTTGCTGCAGAATGTAAGCAACTTGATATTAAGTGACGCGAGTCAATGCATAAATGGCAATGCGACTTTGGCTCAAGACCGAACTATTAAGCGTGTACACTTAGCAAAAAAATATTTACCGATACAACAGTAGAGTATCAGTTTTCGGTTCATAATATACACCTATCACCTGAAATAGAATTCACCGCTTCAGACTAGAGAGAGAGAGCCAATGTTCTGTTAAACCTGTGACTCTGTGAGCGTGAATTCGTGGATCCATACTTCTGAATACTATTAAAAAAATCGTTTCATACATAGCCTTCTAAACTATGCAACAAGAAAAGAAGGCATGTAAAATATGATCGTTTGATTTGCACAATTGCACTGTAGTTCATCAATGTTGAATTTAGTTTTGTCCCGTTCAGTGGCAAATTTCAGGTCCAAGGGATTTTGTCCTGTTCTGAGTGATTTCATTAACCGCATTTATTTTTTTAAAACATAAATTCAAATATTTTCACTCGGTTCATATACATATATATGAATACTCGGGCTCGGGCTTTAATAATTTTATAGTGACGGGTGTCACTTAGACAAAGTCAGTAGAGCTCAGTCAGTAGACCTCTCTCTATTTAGTATGTATGAGACCTCCGGGCTCAGTGACTCTGTGAGTGCGGACCTAATAAGTCCGAAGTCACCAGTTCAAGCCTGGTACGTAGAATACACCAATTTTGTTCGTATATTTACTATTATAGCGTTCGAACCTGTGGTATGGAGGAAATTAATTATACTTTTTCGGGTATGTATTTATGTATTTATATATATATTAATAT